AGCCGTGAAAACGGCTGTTTTAGTACTCGATTTATTTATTATGGTCTGAGTAGGTCCGAGAGATGATTAGTTTTGACCGTAATCAGGGTTTTACGCCCGAAGGTGTGTGGTCCCGGTTTCACGTCTCGGACCAGACGGAGAGAGTAGCCGTGAAAACGGCTGTTTTAGGACTAGATTTATTTATTATGGTCGGAGTAGGACCGAGAGATGGTTAGTTTTACCGTAACCAGGGTTTTACACCAGAAGGCGTTTATCTCCTATTTAGCGTCTTGGAACGGACGATTAAAGTAGCCGTGACAACGGCTGTTTTAATGCTAGATGCACGCGTTGCTCTTCGGTGGTTAGGACCACGACGATTCGAATGTGCGGCGGCTGGTGTTGGCAGCGTCGGCGGCGCGGTCGTGGCAGCTAGTACGTGTCGGCGACGAGTGTTGAGTTGGCGGCGCTGATGGACGCGTTCGTGCGGCGGTCTTCGGAAGGTCGATGGCCGGTGGCGTGGTTTCACGTGGTGTCGGCGCCGTTCGTCTGCTCTCGGTGTCGTCCGGCTGGTCGCGTACGCTTCTTCGGTAAACGTCGGTGGCTTGCTATATGGCGGATGAACTCGTTGTCTGCTTGGCTGATGGCGAGATCGTCTTTGGTTGAAGAGGTCCAGTAGTCCGACTTGTCCAAATTCGATTGAAGTGTTGAATTGAACGTTTCGGTGGCTGGAGATGGAATGTGTCGGTTTAAAATCGTCGCCGTATTTATGTGTTTTTTAATTACTGACTCCGCGCTCTAGTTGGTCGGCCAATCAGAGGCCTTTATTTTGTCTACTTCTCCAACCAGACTTCTCCCTCATCATGATTCCTAGCAATTGGTTTAGGTTAGGTCAGAAGAAAATGGCATGTATACAGCTATCGATCGATAGCCATTTCTAAATAAGGGAGGTTTTTTTGCCGGACCCTGTATATACATTTTTGTAATATGATTTTTGTGATTTTGTTGATTTTATGATTTTGTTTTACAATAAACAAAAAAATTACTAAAAACTTTACAAATTAGTTGGTATTTAAATACTCTGCTAATGGTACTCTTATATTTTTAATTGTAATTGGTGGTATCAAAGTTCAAACCTAAATTTTTGTTTGAAATCTCCCCTTTCTATTTAAATATTAAAAAAAAAAAGGTTAAAAAATTAGTTAGATATTTATCTAACCATAGTCCATAAAAGTTGATTTATTATTATTTATAACAATACATTATATATTTTTAACATATTTTAAGTATTCATAATTCAAATTTTTTATTTTAAATGTATGTATATAAAACATATACTACCCAAAATCTCACGCTATAGAAAAGTTTAAAAATTATCAGCCATTTTTAGCAATTTTAAATTTAACAATAAATCTTGTAACATCGTATTAATCGCTTATTTTAAATTAAAACAGCAGTTGTACTTTTTGGAAATGTGATTTTCCCTCGTAGATTCGATTTTTTGAAATGTTAAATTAATATAGATCCTTAAAAACAAAAAAATTTTTTTTGACCTAGGTAGGGCAATTTTTAAAAAAAATTATCCAAAACACCTCATGTTCCCGACTCTGTAATTTAACCGCCCATAATTTTTTAGAACTTTTTTAGAACATATATACCTTCTTATATCCCTGTGGCCAACTCCGAGGACAACTTTGTCCTCGATTGGTGCAACACAATTTTTACAAGAAAATGTGTATAATTTTATTGTAGTTTTTAGCTTCGATGCAAATCAGAGATGCTTTGGTTTTACCATAATGTGTGTTTTTGTGTTGTCTACGAATAGCAACTCTATAAATTGTAGTTTTTTTATTAAAGGTAAATTGTCATCTGCTTCGATTGAGGCAGTATATACAAATGAAAATACGAGCTATTTTTTTGTAAACAATTTTTTTTTATGCTTATGTTTGAATGCATTGTAGAACGTTATTGTGGTTATATTAACTTTGGCATGTACCTATTTTTTAAAATTTACATTCCGTTAATGTATTGCGTTTTCCTAAATCAAAAATGTTTTATAATTATAACTTATTACAACGAAGTTTTGTAAAATCATTTATCATGTAAACTTTAATCCAATATTGTAGTATTGTATATCAAACCCAAGCTGTTTTCCACACAGACTGTTGTAATGTAAACAAATGGAGAATTCCTATAGGTATCACAAACATTGAATATTATAAGATCTTCGTACTTTACAAATTGTATGGTTCTATTATTTATTTTGTTATCGAAAACGAGGTGTTTTTTCTTAACATATTTTGTTTTGCAGTTGTTTTTCTGTTTAAATGTTTGACCTAATTTAATTCTTGCACGGTAGAATCTCGATGTTTCAATAATTATAGCAAATGCCCTGATATGTCTAATCAGTAATATTTTACGTATTACACTTAAAAAGCATTTTTAGATAGAATGTCGAGCTTTTTTCAGAAAAGCTAACAATACTTTTTCTAAAACTTAACCCTTCAATGCGCAATTTTTTTAAAAAATGTTTTTATATTGTTTTTAAACTAAATAATGAGTCAGGAATTCGGGAAAAATATTCATAAAATTCACAAATTATTTTTTAATATTCAAATCGAGCATTTTTTATTTGTTGCTTCTAAGCAACACCGCGCGTGAGCGCTAATTACTTATAATGAAATGAAACAAACTTTTCTCTTAAATACTATCTTCTACTCTCTACTATCTATACTACTTATCTTTACTAATTAATTACATCTTAATTACTTTTCTCTTAATTAAAATATTACAAAAAAATTAATTTCATGAAATTCAAAACTCTTATTTTTATTTCACGTGGTAGTCTTCAAAGCACTGCTTGTCTTTGGTTTGACATAAATATTGTTTACACTTTGAACACATCCAAAATGTAGTGCCAATACAGTGAGGAATTTTACATCGTCCTTTTTTATCTTGAAATCTTGGCCAGTGGCCTAACATATCTTGCCTCACATCCTTCGGAGTAGAAGTGGTAGGTCTTCTTTTTTTTTACATTTTTTAGTTCTCCTTCAAGTGATGAAGGGCGTCCACGAGTCTTTTTTATAACACCTGTTTTGGTTAGACAAAATGCCAATTCTTTTCTCCAGTCCGCCAAAGTATATTTTATGGGTTCCATTTTTTCTTCTCTCACACGTTTATATAACAGCCACGAATTGACTGTAGTCAAATCAAGTAAATGGTACCATAACCGTATAAACCATTTTCGAGATCTCATTTGAATTTTGTTTCGACCAATTAAGCTGTCTAATGTGTCCACACCTCCCATAAATCGATTGTATTCTTTGATTATAAAAGGTCATTCAATCGTCATCAATAAATTCTACATTACTAATGTTTTCAAATGTATTTTGTACCTCATTATTATCAAAATCATTTTCATCATCAGAATGTTCAAATTCATTCTCAATTTTGTCCCAATCAGTCAATTAGCGCAACCTAGCTGTCAGCATCGATACCGCCTCAACACATGGTCAGATCGCCAGATCTCGGTAGTTGTGACGAACCGTAGCGAACTTCTCGCATGTGATCAGTCACCCAGAGCGCACATATAAATACGCACACGACAACTACCGACCCAATGTCTTCGGACACCGGCCGGGCAACCTTTTGCCTGCATCCGCCACAATGTGTTTACCGACTTTAATAGTACATATGTTATTCCCATAGATGTCGTTGGTGTCACTATGTACATAATTTAAAAGTGTTATAACCGTATTTTTAAATTGTTGCTCAGAAGCAACACGGCGCATTGAAGGGTTAATACAATATTTTGCCACAATTTGTATTGTTAAAAATTGCGCGGTTATTATGCAAACATGTTGTTAGCAAAGTTAACATGTTGTTTTTTACAACGACTGTTGTGATGTAAATATATCACAATATCTCTAAAGATCGTATACTTATAATTTTTAACGACTTAAGAACATAATTTGCATAATTTTGGCTCTAAAAAAGTAAAAAAAGAAAAAAATCATAACGATTTCCCTACAAATGGCTACAATTCCTATTGAAGACATTTTAACACTTAAGGACAAAAAACCTAACTAGAGTTTACATTATAGAGAAAACAACACATATTCTAATATTTTATATTTAAAAAAAAATTATAGCCTATAAATATACACTTTTAATGCACACAGTTCAAGTACGTATGGGAAAAGCTTGAACACAATTAGCCCCCATCCCCAAGCATCCGCCCTTGTCTCTACAGTCTAATCAATTATATAATATTTCAACTTGAAGTAAGTGAGGGGATTTTCGTACAATATCCCCCCTTGTAAATGCTCTGGACGCAAGGCCCTTGTCTCTTATCATTCATATTATAATTTAGCTTGCATATTGAATTTTAGTTAAAATATCTGTGTTGTACAAAAACCAACAATATGTTTTCATAAAATACAGTATTTATCCAATGATTGTAGCAATGTAAACAAACTACAAATACCTGTTGGCAAGACAATACATTGTTAGCTTATGTGTAAACATAAGATTGAAAACAAATTTTAAATGCTAATTAAATAATGAAATTGTGACGATTAAGGTACGGTTTCCCTTGGGCGAACGCAAATGCTATCTAACCGCGATCTAAATTTTCGATTGAAAGATCACGTTTGCTCAGTATGGTTTTCTTCTTGGCGATTGTACGCTGAGATATTAATAATTTTATCAATTTACTGTATTTTTTTATACCTTGATTTTTTTTTTCATAATTCATTTGCACTGTAGCATTAAAGGTGAGTTCAGTAGTTCAGTTATATAGTCTATAATTCCTTTAAAATACCCTTTTTTAAAATACCTTTTTATAAATTATGTACAGTAAATATAATATGAATAAATGGAAGTTACTAATGTGTTGATAGATATTTGCAATAATGAAGCAGCCTGAATACATATCGCCAAACATATTTTATAAATATTTATTTACTGTTTTGAATTTTTTTTTTAATTCTTAATACAACTGAGGTAAAAATTAATCGTTTTATCGCACAGTTACATATAAGTTTTTAGTAGTTAGATAAAATGCATTTCAAGGTCTTAATTTTGTTACTAAATTGTTTAATATTTGCTGAATCCGTTGTCGTGAGCGAGGAAATGGTTTGTCTTTATAATTTGTTTTGACTGTTATTCTGATAGTATTAGTTTTTTGTTGGCTAGTTCATATTTGTAATATAGTCAAATTTTTACTATGAGGCCCCTCCATAGTAGGGATCAAAAGACCAGGAATATTTTAATTCATTTGAAAATGCTATAAAAGAGTATCAATATAAACAGTAATAAGTAAATTTGGGAAACAAATATAAAAAATCGGCCTTTTAGCCCCAATATAGAAGATATTAAACTTTATTAGTTAGCTAGATCATTAATAACACAAGTCAAATTTTTACTATGTACTCATTGTTTTCTGTGAAGTTATTTTTATTTTAGCATAAAGAGGTTCAATTAAAATCTTATCATAACTATTGATGATCAAAACAAGTTTTTAATATAATCTACAATTTTCCGTGATATCACAGAAGCGTCCGGGGCCTGACATAGTGTATAAATGTGGTTTTGTATGATTTGTTTTCAGGAACTTTATCTGGACACTTGGTTATAACTCTAGTGCTAGTTTTATCCTATGATGCATGTTAATTATTGTTAATTTTATATTGTTCTCTAGTCTGTAAAAAATAATAAAAATAGTATAAAAAACTTTTCAGTTACGCGACTTATACAATGACCTTGTAAGAATGGAGAACACAAATATAAAAGGTAACCATTAGACATTTTTGTTTATTATTTTAAAATCGTTTTTTAGTGTTGACGCAAACCTATGACTTAGGCCTTTCCATATCGTCACGGAAACTCAACTAGAGCTTCCGATTTTCTTTAAGTACTGTTTGGGCATATAGTGATCCAAATTTTTGGAACAATAAAAAAAAGATGGAAATCAATTTATAAAACTGAATTATTATTATTATTTAATAATAATAACAATACTGTTTAGGTATATTTTACCAATTTCAAAAACAATCTTTAACGTAAAAAGAATTGTGTTTTAGTATAGATTATACACTCATACCAATGTATCAACTTTTCATGGGTGTGTATCAAAATTTTCAAATTTGCTGAGATTAAAAACCTCTTATTTATATATTGTTCATTAAATATTGTAATTTTCTGGATTTTGTTGTTTAACAAAACTGTGTGAAATATAAATAGTATATTATTATTAAAAGAAATCTGACTAAAAAATACAATAAACAAATATCGTTTACAACAAAAAAACATCCAATTTCTCTAAAATAAAGTACTACAATATCAAGATGAATTTTACATTATTCTGGTGATTTGAAATTTGTATTTTTTTATTGCAAATATTTAAGTAAGTATTCAAATATTCAAAAGTAAGTAATAGAATAATGTCAAGTATAGCAAGAGTTTTTTTATAATTCGGTGTTTTTTGTATAGTTTTGTCTCATAAATAACTTTGGTTTCTTAATTTTCTGATGTCATTATTCTAAACATTTAAGTATATATTGACATTTAAAATTAAATTTACTTTTTTGTGATTTTTCAGACGTTATAAGTTATGAGCAGTTTAAGTCGATTGTCGTAGAGTCTGTCGAAGTGGATGGTGACATCGAAGAGGATGCCGACTCATCCTATGATCTCCAAATAAACAATCCATTTGGTCCATAAATATTAACGGTTTGTTATAATTTCAACCCTGGACCAAATTGTAATAAAATACAACTTATAAATATAGAACTGAAATATTTAAAAAATGCCTCGATTGTTGTTTCGCCTCTTTTGAGAAATACTTTATCTTCTTTTCCTTCGCCTTCGTCTTAACTATGAGGTCGGTCAACCATCAACTTTACATACACGACCAGTCCTCATACTTATAATTGAGAAATACAGTACATATTGGTTATTGTGTACATTGAACTGTAATAAGTTTTAATGACAACATGTTAAGGGCATTTCATTGATTATGAATTTTACTGATTCCATATTGAGAAAAATCAAGAATTCTGTATTTTTAATGTTATTTATAGGACGAATAATATTATCCATGTATTATATTTATTAGGTATATAATTAAGAACGAGCACTTAACTCCTAAATGATGCAATTTAACGTGCGTTGATGGAGTTTACCTATACAGTTCGCCTAAAACATGTGTGTCACTGTGAATGTGGTGTGTTTGTTGCCAAGCATCAAAGCGTTTTTTTAAAAGTGATTTAATATCATTTTTTTTTAGATTTTACTATTTAGTATTCATCAAAATGTAATTGAAAATTTGAGAAGTATACAAACAAATATTTTATTACATGCTGTATTATATTTATTAAATCTTCAGTAGCTATACAAAATAATTAAATAATATACTAGTACTACCCAAAATCTCACACTATAGAAAAGTCTAAAAACTATCCGCCATTTTTGACAATTTTAAATTTAACAATAAATCGTGTAACAATCGTTTTAATCGTCTTAATCGTTTATTCTAAATTAAAACAGCCGTTGTAAATTTTGGAAATGTGATTTTCCCTCGTAGATTTGATTTTTTGAAATGTTAAATTAATATGAATTTTATTTGGAAAAATTGTTTATCTATATTTAATTTCTTATAAATTCAAATACTGGATAATTAAACAAATAATATACACGAATAGAATATCTATGAAATAATATTTAACATTTTAAACCTTCTGAAGTAACATTTGTGACCTATTGATTTGATTTTTTGAATTATAACAACGATATTTACATTATTTTTATTATGTATTTTTTTTTTCGATTATAAAAATATATTGTACAATGGTCATTTCACGTGAAATCACTTAATGGGTGTGCGACTATATTTCAAAATTGTTATCATACATTCTATATAGGTCCTTAAAAGGTGATTTCACGTGGAATGACCCAGAATAGTTTAACCTTTATTATAATTTGTATGTTCAAAATTCAATGATTAAATATATTTATATAGAAAATTAAAATGAATACTAATTATTTGTGTCAACCACCTTGTGATCAAACTTAAGACACTGCCATCTCTTTCACACAAGAGGAGTATGCTTACAAGATACAACGTTTTTTTGAATACAACGGCTTAAAAGAACACAGTTTTCTATCAATATTTAAATGTTTGTGTATATAATTATTATTTACATAAAATTAACTTGTATTATTTAATAAGAGTTTATAGTTATAACAGTAATATTTAAAACATTTTGCCCCTGGATACCGACCATTTTTAAGGAGTTTTGTATAGGCAATATTTTTTGCGTGTACGAAAGTGTCTGTTCTTGTGTTAGTGTGTAAACAAACATTAATGTGCGTGCCGTTGTATTTCCGCTACAGCACCACTCTTATCAGTGGTCATAAAATTATAGCAATAAGACCACCCGGCGACGGTCAAATTGTTTTTTTCTACCAAGAAAATATTATATAATCGACAAAATAATATTTTGAAGAGCTAGCCTGAACAAAATCTTCGCTGGACGGATTACAACGGCGTTACATAACTTTTTTCAGCGCGTAAAATATGTGTTAGAAGATGCAAGTTCCTCGTGAACTGAGCAGTTTTAGCGCATACTTACCTATGAACCAAAATGCAAGATTAAGAGTTTATATATAGGTTAATGTAGGTTTTTTTTCAATAATAATACTAGGGACCAAGTTATAGATCATGGGCTTTTTTTTCAAAATCGTATATCATTTTCGTTACAAAACATATGCTAATGTGTAGATAAACTCTTAATCTTTACTTTTAGCATAGGTAAGTACGTGCTAAATATGCTCAGTTCGCCAGAAACTAACATCACCTAATACAGACTTAGTTCTTAGTTCTTACACATTATCTCTCTCTCACGTTTAACGTCCGTTAGTCTCGCCAATCGGGGCTTAGACGGTCTTAGATTTGGCATTTTTGGGTTTAGAGCTGGCTGCCGACCTAACGCTATCAAACAAGTCCCCAGAGAGAAGTGCAGGTGGCTGTTTTTTCCCCCAGACAGTTGCCCGCCCTGAGGAACAAACCGCCAGTGGCAGAGATTTGAACCGGCGACCGTGCGTTGATACACTGCCGCCTTATCTCACTCCGCCACGCGCCTGCACATTACACATTATATTATCTATTCATAAATAAAGTTGAGCCTCTGCCCGTATGCATATTACATGTATGTATTGAACTTAAATAAATAAAATAATTATACCACTTACCAGCCTTCAATCTTGTAGCTCGTGAATAAACCAACATAAGGGGTTGGTATAATGGAGTTGGATCACCATTAGACACCTTATGGTTAGGAAATATAAATACCATTTGATGAAAACTTGACAACTACAAGTACCTATCATTAGAATAGATTCTTTCACAACTCTATAAGTTATAAAAAGCTGCCTAGTATAACCCTTCACTAGTGACGTGGATTTTTGTAACATTACTAGTGACGTGTGGTATGTCATACCGCACTTCATTTAACTGTGGTTGTACTTAAAAGTCTTAACGTAAAATAAAACAAATTTGTAGGCAACACGAAAAAACCAACTTTTTAGACTCAACTTTAGTGTTTTTCTATAACAAAAAAAAATCAAAATTGTTTTCAGAAAGCAAAAAGAAAGAAGATCATTTTATGTATGACACTGATTTTTAATCATTTTTTTGATGGCCGAAGATACTTTAATTTTTCATATTAATTTTTAATTTTTATTTAGTTTTGTTAACTGTTGGCACACGATACCGCTGAACCAATTTCTTCGAGTATGCAACTGTATAGATTATAAATCGTACCTGAAATATACTTTATTGGACCAAAACTTAAAAAAAGTCTTTCCTTCTTTTTCAAAATCGAGAAAAATACCAAAAAATTGTACACATTTTTCAACTTATAATTACGATGCTTCATAACTTTTTTAAAAATAGTAGAATTACTTCCAAATTTATATTGATTATTTTTATTAGTGAATACGGAATGTACGAATACTTCCACTTTATCCATTTATAAAATATTATTTAAATTAATTTTACTTTATTATAAATAAAATCACAGAAAAATATAGTAAATGTAATGTCAAACCTTTGATCATTACTGCTTTCTTGCTACTCATTTTCACAAGACTCGCTCTGCGACGTCGAAGCATCAGAATTTTCCTATGTACGTACGAATTTAAAAATAGTAAGAAATAATCGTAATTGATACTTATTTTGACTTATTGAGTTTTTATAATTTTTCCATTTGAGGAGTGATTTAATATTTTATTTGTTTTTTCTTATTTTTGATAATCGCTTCATTTTAGGAAAACTTTCCATTTTAATTTGTATTAACCTTATATAAAACCAGCACAGTGTGTAAACACAGGTAAATGCATGTCGTGCAGCAAAGTACTATAGCTTGTTTGTACTATTATTTGTACTATTTCATTAGACTTATTGTACATATAAGTACGAATACCGAGTATTTCTATTTACACTCTTCCGGACTTTTTGGACATCTATCATTTATATCATATATGGTATATCGATAACTATGGCCCAGTCAATAACTTGAAAGGTATTAAACGGGTCAAACAAGTTTATCAAATAAGGGATAAGTAATCTGAAAACAGATTTGAATTCTTCATGAAGTTTACTTGAGATCGATCAGCGTACATTTTTGATATCTTACTCCTACTACGCATAAAACACGTTTGAACATTTTATCAAATTTGGAAAGGGTTAAACTTAAAAATTGAAAAAAGTGATCTCAAGTAAACATCATGACGACTTCATATCTGGTTTTAGATTGCTTATCGGATCACTGGTTCAGTCTGTGCGATGGACCAAAAATTATGTGTTTTGGCTAAAAAAACGGTCGGTATCCAGGGGCCTCAAACTGAACTTTTTAAAGTTTTGAACACAAGAACTGGCACCGCCTAAACGCGTATGGTTAAACGATTCCTGTTTACATATACGTCAAGAGTGCCTGACTCATGTAAAAAAAAGCCAGTCATTTTCTAAACGAATAAATGGACAAAAATCCCAATTGCAGATTCCAGAGAGGTAATTAATAGTTTTTTTCAATTTATGCCAATAATTTTTTTATTTATGTCAAAAGATTATTTAAGTAAATACATTTATCATTAGAGTGGCATTTAATGTGATTTTTTTGTTTTCATGTAAGAGGTAGAGAAATTCACGAACTTTGTTTTTGCTATACTCTAAAATTTTCATAATGTCACAACTACCGTTTTTACCCTGTGCCCTTCAATTATAATTTACAACGAGTACAACACGGTTATCTATATAGGGTAGACAAATTCAAAGTATAATTAATCAAATATTGTTGTGGTTATTTTACCTATTAGTAAATTCAACATTTTAATACTCATATGAAGGATGACTTTATTTTTGCAATCTATTCTAGGTCGTGGTATAACTTAGCAAATAAAAAATATTGTTCCAATGGTTTTTCTTTTCCTGGGCGAAGCCGGGTACACAGGCGGTTTGTTAATACGGAAGACGGTTATTTACTAGAAATTCAAAGCATACAAAACAAACAAAATATCGATAGAAATCATACAGTATTTTTGCCGGAAAATATCCGGGTAGCTATCAATAGACATAATAGACACACATTATTTACTATGCATGCAAGCGTAAAACAACAGAAGATATTAGTTTGAGGCCTAAAATAATAATGTTATTGGAAAACTTGTTTTGAATAGACTTTGTGCATATTA